ATCTTGGCCCCGAACACCTGGTCACGCCACGGCTTTTCCCAATCTAATTCTGGTCCAAAACGAGCCTCCCCTGGTTCCACTTTGGGTGCCAAACGCCGCCTCTGAATCCCTAGAAAAAAAAGGACGTCTGTTGCCATTTGTTTCGCTCATCTTTGCCCCGAACACCTGGTCACGCCACGGGCTTTTCCCAATCTAATTCTAGTCCAAAACGAGCCTTCCCTGGTTGCACTTTCGCTGCCAAACGCCGCCTCTGAATCCCTAGAAAAAAAAAAGGACGTCTGTTGCCATTTGTTTCGCTCATCTTGGCCCCGAACACTTGGTCACGCCACGGCTTTTCCCAATCTAATTCTGGCCCAAAACGAGCCTCCCCTGGTTCCACTTTCGGTGCCAAACGCTGCTTCTGGATCCTTATATAGAACAAAGATAGTGCTATTTTTCTCGCGCATCTCGGCCCCGAACCCCTGCTCACGCAAACAGCTTTTTCTCATCTTCTAGATCCCCGAACACCTGACCCCGCCACAGCTTTTCCCAATCTAATTCTGGTCCACAACGAGCCTCCCTGGTCGCACTTTCGGTGCCAAATGCTGCTTCTGGATCCTTATATGGAACAAAGATAGTACCTGGCCCTGCCACGAACACCTGGTCACGAGCCTCCCCTGGTCGCACTTTCGGTGCCCAACGCTGCTTCTGGATCCTTATATAGAACAAAGCTAGTACTATTTTTCTCGCGCATCTTGGCCCCGAACCCCTGGTTCGTGCTGAGACAAAGGAGCGCAATAGGTTGCGGTTCCAGTGATGCGTGTGTTCGAGCAGCATGGAGCAGTGGAAGCGTCTGTTGCCTGCAGGTTCGTGCTGAGACGAAGAAGCGCAAGGCTCCCGCACCTGTAATCCCTCGCGCGCTCCCCCTCCTTCAGCCGGGGTCGGCGGATTCATATTTTTGGCGCCGCCCAAGGAGTGTGCAGTTCGAGTCCAGCGGAAACCAGCTCAAATTGAGCGGCACCCCAATCGCGCTGCAGCTGGCAGAAAGACCTGGCTCATTGTCCCGCTGTTCTTCACCATACTAGGTGCTTTGGGAAAGCTGATGAAGCAAAGAAAACAGTTGATTGGAAGTGTTGAGACTCACCAACTCAGCACCGAATCAGCGAGAATCAGATCAGACTTGTGCAGGTGCTCTCTATGCATTGTGGAAGAAGCGTGTGCGGCGACGCAAAGCGGGCCTAGGGTGAGTTCCAATGTCGACGAATTGCCAGTTTTGGCCACAGTGCCTTTCAGAGCCCAAGATGCAACGATTTTTTAGCAATGCCATGATCAAAGTGATAGTGTTGCAGTTGCATGCAGTTGCAAAGTTGCCAATCTTTGTCTCTGACGAACCATCGCAAACAACAGCCGGACGTCCGCTGCGCCATCACACTTGTCGCAGCCTTTGAAACACTTGGTGGCTGTGCGATCGAACCATGTTTGCCGGCTTAGACAAAAACATGGGAGCCATGCACGCTTGTGTCCGGGCAAATGCAAGGCTGCAGTGCCTCGTAGGCTCCTTCACAGCTTCATTCATTTGTTTGACATTAGCAATGGCAATGATATAGATGGTTCATGGTCCAAAGGTCTGAAGGAGGGTTTGGAGTGCTGCAGGACAGACTTCCACCCACTCCTCCGCGAGCCGGAGTTCGGAAGAACGTCACTGGCCCAGCGAGATTTCAGATGACTTTTGTACATGTATATAGGTGGCAATTGGATGCATTTGGGTGGGAAAGGACACTGAACTGAGCTTGACCTGGCACAAGCATGCGCGGACCGTGCAGGCCTAGTAAGAGTTGGAAACCGAACCGTGCACAGCGAGAGGACCTGTGCGAAAGGTTGTTTGTAACAAGGCCACTCAAAGGACAGCACATTCCCATAAGTTTCTACTTTTCCATTGTTGTCGTCATCGTCGTCTACTTTCCTTCATTTTGAGCAAACTCCCATATCCTTCTTAGTCCTTCTTTCCATGTGTTTTAGATGTTTTTTGTCTCTTCGGATCGTTGTCTTCTCTTTCTCTCCCTATTGAAACAGACCGTCCCGTCCGTCCCGTCCGCAGCCGTCCATCGCGGCGAACTGAGACCGGTGCGCCGGTGCTCAGACTGGACGGTTGGCGTTCTCGACCCAGTTGGGACAAGCATATATCTACGCCCTACGCATGTTGAATGCATGAAGAGTCATGAAGTATGAGTGCTGCACTAGCTAATGAGTCATTTCTTTTGTGTGCCAACATCATGAGATGTGAGTTTTGTGCGTTTGAGATCAGCCTCGGAAGGGCGGCACAGCTTGAATGTATCTCCTGAACACACCTGGAACGCTCTCAGCTCAAGTCCAGAGGTGCTCAAGAACTTCCGCCTTCTCAGTTTCGTCCAAGATGGCCCAGGTGATTGGAATGGCTGCGCCGGATATGGCCTTGGAGGTGTTTGTCTCCGGAGAAAAGAGCACATCAAATCTTTTGGCTTTGCGGAAGTCAGGACAGGCCATGATTGTAGATTTCTTCGCACCTTGGTGCAAAGCTTGCCCCAAGGCTGCCCAACATCTCGATCAGTTGGCAGAAACCTATTCAGACCGTTGCCAGTTTGTCTTGATTTGCGTTGATGGCTCTTTGGATGATGCGATCGCCTTTGCCAAGCTGCACTCCATCCATCGTTGCGTGATGGCATCATTAGTGGATGAGGACTCACCCGAGAGCTATCAAGTCTCAGGTCTTCCACACCACACACTGATTGCACCTGATGGCCTTGTGGCGCGAAACTACGAGGTGACACTTCCAGGAGACTTAGATGAGGTTCTGAAGCCATGTCAGATCCCCAACTCCGATGACCTGGCACGCACCGTGCCGAAGAAGAGCTCCATCTCTGACCAGTACAAGGATCTGGAGAAGAATGATCCCCTCCTCAAGGAGAACCCACGTCGCTGGGTGATGTTTCCCCTTCAGTACCCGGAGGTCTGGGAGATGTACAAGAAGCACGAAGCGTCCTTTTGGACTGCTGAGGAGATTGACCTGGCACAGGACAACAAGGACTGGAATGGTCTCAATGAGGGTGAACAGCACTTTGTGAAACACGTGCTGGCATTTTTTGCCGCGAGTGATGGCATTGTGCTGGAGAATCTGGCAACGCAGTTTTCATCTGAGGTGCAAATCCCCGAAGCAAGGGCATTTTATGGCTTTCAGATTGCGATGGAAAACATCCACTCCGAGACCTACTCGCTTCTCATTGAGCAATACATCAAAGACCCCAAGGAGAAGGATGATTTGTTCGACGCCATCCACACGATGCCAGCAGTTTGTGAGAAGGCTAGCTGGGCCATCCAATGGATGAACCGCGAGAGCAGCTTTGCCGAGCGCCTGGTGGCATTTGCTGCTGTGGAGGGCGTGCTTTTCAGCGGCTCCTTCTGTGCGATTTTTTGGTTGAAGAAGCGCGGTTTGATGCCTGGCCTGACCTTCTCTAATGAGCTCATCTCTCGTGATGAGGGATTGCATGCGGATTTTGCATGCTTGCTCTACGGCATGCTTCAGAACAGGCTGCCAGAAGAGGTGGTACACGACATCATCAGGGGTGCAGTGGAGGTTGAGCGAAAGTTCATTTGCGATGCCCTCTCTTGTGATCTCATTGGCATGAACAAGGATTTGATGACACAGTACATTGAGTTTGTGGCAGATCGACTTCTGACAGCCTTGGGCCACAGCAAAATCTTTGGCTCATCCAACCCTTTTGACTTCATGGAGTTGATCTCTCTCCAGGGCAAGACCAACTTCTTCGAGAAGCGGGTTGGCGAGTATCAGAAGGCTGGGGTCATGGCTGGTAAGGAAGAGCAAGGATTGAATGCATTTACTTTGGATGCAGATTTCTGAGTCTGCAAAGACAGACACGGGGTGTTTGTGGGGCCAATCGTAGATTGGATTTGGGCACTTCGAAAGGCCAAGTGGCTTATGCAGTGCTTTCGGGGGCACAGCGGGCTTACCATTGTTGGTAAGCCAGAGTTCCTTTGATCACGGGCAACGCAGCCGAGTGCTGCCCCGTGCAGAAAAAAGATATACATGATCATGAGAACCCATGGAACATGATGAAGACTCGATGAACATGTCCATTCGTAAAGTGAACTGAGTACAGTACAGATTGCATGCAGGGGAAGTTGTCAAACAGGTTGCTTGCCTCACACCTTACTGTGGCAGCTTTGCAAGGTGCACATTGTTGCTGGACATGGTGCTCAGGCCGGCATGATGATGATGATGAT